CCCTACATTACCTTCCCTCTTCCAAAGTATGCAGGAGCAACTAGGAATCATACCTCGTTCTTCTTGATCTTTGAAATGCCACCAATAGCCCTTGGATGGATGATAACGACAGTAAGACATAGCTTCTTCAAAAGCAGACTGAATTCCATGCACTGCAGTGAGCTTTCAGAACAAGAACATAAGGCAGTGTTCAGAATTTAAGGAGAAAATAGACTATAAGTTTTTGAAAGCAGTGATTTTTAATCAGTATTCTGTATTCATTTTGTTCTGAGAAGGCACCTTGGGACATCTAGTTTTGGACCAAGTATGTAATTTCTTTAACAGGCGCTTACAAGACCTTTTCTGAAGTGTTTTTCTAAACTGACAGAGAAAACTTGCAAAAGCAGTAGTTTACTAGAAGGGAAGAGATCAAAACAAACCCAAGTATCCAATTTCAAAAGAAGTACCACATCAACCTAAAAACATAAGCTTCATTTAAAGAGAAATATTACATTACAGTAACATTCCAAAGCAAGCTTCACTCAGTATGTATTTAATTACCAGCTTGTATGTATTTGCCATGTATTTTTTCTTCTAATTACTCAAACCTCATGCTGTTCTGCCAATTGTGCAGCTTCATTCATTCTGATCCTTCATCCTTAAACAACTGTGTATCCTACTTTTTGGACCATACTGCACTCTCCCAGGATCTTTCATTTCCATGTGGGGTGCACACCATGTTAACCAGTGGGATTTGTTTTAAGTTACTGTATACCACACAAGATCTTTCCTCAAAACAGCAAAGGAGAGATTTAAACAGCCTGGGGAACAATGAAAAGTAAAAGCAGATACAAACTGGTATACATCATATGCACAGAACACTTACAACTCTGGAGTTAATGACAGACCCTAAGTCAGGTGCCTGATAAATCACTCCAGCAATAATATAGTAGTCAGCCAATGGAATAACTGTGGGGAGAAAAAAAAAAGAGGCAGGATCAATTTAAAGCTCTGGCTGAAGACAGTGTATTTGTTGCTGAGTTTCAGTAGTAACAGCAGAAATTGCAATATTCATCTCATCCCCAAATATTCTCTTTTTTACCTTTTCCTCGACGGTGCTTTATTTGTACCTTAGACACAGACTGATAAGGAGAAAACAAACAAGGTCTGCTTTACATATAGAAAAGCAGCGGTTTTAAGTCCTGTCCTACTGCAAACAAAAAACTGACCTTAGAAGAGTTGGGGTTTTTAGAGCTGCACAAGAACAGTCAAGTGAACTGCACTGGAGGTAGTTCCACTTGCCTTTGCTACCAGTAGAAACCCACAACATAATATCTTTCATTCTTCTGGCCTCTACAAGCTTTCTCCAACTTGTACAGCCCTCTTAACTAGATTTCCCAGACCCAATGGCAGCTAAGCACACACAGAGCATGCCTTTCTAAATTAATAGTATTTTGCCAAAAAAAGACCACCTCCCAAAGGTGTTTGCTAAATCAGATTTGGAACCTCTACTGAGTGATCAAAAAGTCTTGTTCATTAGAGCTGCACTGCGGAGGAACATCACAATTGTCTCCATAATACATTTGTCAATTTAGAAACTATAGCGATGCTATCAGCTTCACATTCCTAAGGATCTTCCCTAAGCACACATTTGGTCCAGTTCCTCCATCTGTACTAACACATTCTGTCTGAACCTTTCTACTGACAGAACCCAATTCATCCAGTACTTGCATTTTCTGACATTTGGACACCCACCTAAATTAACAGGCCAAGACAGGTGGGTGTGTATTACAGCCAGTACCCACTTCTCCTCAAAAGAGGATTGTCAGTATTTCCTTAGAAGTGGAGCAAGACACAGAACAGCAGCTTTACTGTCTCACAGCTCTGTACCAGAACAGCCTACTTTCCTAGACAGGTACTCTCCCTAGTCATTGGGTCTAAAGATTTTTCAAAAAAATCACTTCAAGCAGGCAAAAACTTGGCTTAAAGAATTTAAAATATAAATATATTTAAAAAAAAAAACATACAGAAGTCATAAGACAGGCCTGCACCAGTTCTATCTGTGTACTCAACACTAGCTGTGAACTCATTACATTTTAGTTTTCCATCCCCATTCTCATGTCTCAAATACAGTAATATTTGTACCATGATAAGACGAAACACATGGGCAACATCTGAGCTAGGGAACTGTGCAACTCAATCAAGGTACCCAGCATAAACTGTACAGTCACAGTGGGAAAAACATTACCAAAGAGTTAAGTTCCACCAAACATAGATTTGCATTACAGCAAAAGACTGAGCACACATATTGTGGAAGTCCCACCTCTACTCTTGATGTAAAAAGTGTCAGAACAGGAAATTAAGGGCTGCATAATATTTCTTTCTTTTGAAAGCTAGACTCAAAACCTTTAATAAAGAACAACTTGAAAAATCTTTTAAAGAAGGAATCATGTCTGTTCTTTTTCAGAACTGCAATATAAAGAGGCCATTACCTGACATAAGCAAATAAAAAGCATTGCCAGACAAGACAAAGTCCTTGGAAAGGCCATCAATGACACTGTGAGGAACGGTGCTGTTGTCTCAAAATTCCCTCACAATTCCAAAGTACTTAGTTCTCAGAGAAATAACCAAAACAACAAGCATTTCTGATATCTCATGGTCATTCTTCGCATGGGTCGTCGTCTTCTACTGACAAGATCCTGCTCAGCAGTATAACCAATCCACAATTGAAGGTGGAAATAGTGCCATATAAGAGTGACGTGACACAAATAGAAGCATGAATGATCCCTCTCCCTAACTAATGGAAATCATCAGCTCTCCAAAATAAATAAATCTATCGCATACTAGCCACTTTAGATGATTAGCTCAAATTAAACTAAGCTTATCAGCCCCAAGCAAGGATATTGTTAGCCTTATATTCAAATAATTAAAATGAAAACTCTTGCATAGCCTAACAGATAAATACAACATGGCATGAACGCTATTATCAATTTCCCAGGGCAAGATGTACCACAGGGCAGCACCTTCTCAGTGCACTCTTCTCATACCACCACAAGATGGCAATCCCTTCTATTAGCACACTGGAGGTCACTGCTAGACAAAATATCTCCACCCTACCACAAAGCCTCATAACCCTTTTATTTAGATTTAAGATAAAGACAGAAAAGGAGAACCATAAGTGCTTGAACACAAATTAGGAACAGCTAAAAGCAACTAACTGATGGGCCTTCTCAACAGTGACAAGAACTGAGTGACTTTTACCTTGTGTTGGAGATTGCCTTTGCTGCTTTCGGATAATAAAGAGAATGGGCTCTTGAGCATGAAGAAGAATGTACTCCACTCCAACCATCTGGCTGAAAAAGAAGGAACCAGAATAAGCATCTTCCTCAAAGTAAAATCTGTAGGATGTGCAGAGCTACCAAAGGGCCTGGCAGTAAAGGGATGAAATTCTGATGCTCTGGAAGCTCTTCTATGTAATGAGTAATAAAGGCATAGGATTTCCTGAGCTATTTATCAAAACCTAGCTGCATATACAAAGGGAGTCATAACAACCTGACACAACATCTAAGTAGAACATGTTAGCAAGCAAATAAATAGAAAGATAACAGTCGATCACCATAGAGATGTCATTTCAACCCAGAAACAAAGGACCAGCGTATGATGTGACCATCTGCGTGTCTGATGTGAAAGCCTCTCTGCAACCACATCTGAGCACAAGTGACTTCACCAATGGACTTTTAGCTCAGCTTGCATGCTCTCTATCATATTGTGGAGTCTTTAAATAGATCTCAAACATCTCACTTGTGTTCAGTGTAGCAGATGGGGAACTGCAAAGAAAGTTATCTTGCACATGCTGCAATCTCATTACACAACCATCTGTGATCAGTTTATTTACAACACTCACTACTTTTATTATCCATACTAAAAAGCCAGCTCTTTGGGAGAATTACGTACTAATGATGGCACATAGCCAGTTGGGATATGGAAACACAACTATTTATGAACTCAGAAGTATCCCCTAACATAAACTCTATTCACCACAGAAAAACATTTAACTGCATTACCACTACCCGGGTTCTGTTGAGCTGGGAGGATGGGAGAAGACAGCTTTTCTAATTCAGAGAAATATCTAAAAGGTGATTTATTGGAATCTCAGATCGTACAAAGAATCCTTTATGCTCAACACCTCCTTGAAATGGCATCAGAGGAAGAAGATATCCAAATACAAAACAAAGCTGGGCTCCCTGGCAAGTGGTGGGACTAAAACACACAGAACAGAAGGAGGTTGCTAGCATGCTTCAAACATCAAAGCCTCTGGATGGGCAGATAAAGGACACTGCACAGGAAGCAGTTCCAAATTACAACTTACTTCAAGTGGTCCAAGGTCATCCGCTGCATTTTGACGACTTCATTGTTACATGTTCGGTCATAGAATGGGTTACTTCGCTCTGAGAAATAGTCCAACACACTCCCATTGTTTAGTATTGGAATCCAGGAGCTGTCCACCCAGGAAATTCCCAAGAGATTATCTGGGAAGAGAAATCCACATTGAGTACCAAAGCAGTCAGAAACACTACAAATAACTCCAAGAGTAAATTGCCACTAGTTAATGATTATAGCAGGGGAAGGAGGTAGAACATAGCCTCATACAAAACCAGTTCTAATTAAAAATGTGCTTCACAGAGTTCAAATAATAATTGATCTCCTTTAACCTTCTCCAGTTCTGTTGTAGGTACACAATAGAAATACAGTCTTTTTTTATTATTGCACTTTTCCTTCCTTGACCACTAGTTGCTGGTACATCTTTATGTCTCAAGAACGTGAGCAGGGTCTGTGTGTCCATGTGTGTGCATTGTGTTAGCTGGAGTTAATTAGCCCTGATACTGTATACAGTATCATCATACTACATCTACTCAGTATCATCATACTACATCTACTCAGTAGTATTATACACAGTTTATTTTGTGAACCACAGCATTAGCTGGGTAGAAAGACAATGCAAAGCACAGGTCCTTTTGAAAGTTAGGTATCTGGTAAGTAAGTTGAATTTACTAAACTAAGTTAGAATCAGTTATGGCGAGCCAGGGGAGAAATGTGAGAACACCCCACACTAAATCTGAGCCTGGTCATGTTTAAAAAAGTTTATTTCTCACAAAAATAGTTTCCAAGCTGTAAACTATGATGCTGAAAAATAGGTAAATTAATTAAACGCAGAGGGTTTTTTTGCTAAAGCCAATGAGTAAACTACTGAGTAAAACAAAATACGAAAAGAAATAGTGGCATTGGTAACATTTCTAAGGTGTTCTGTTATTAAAATACTTATTACTATGATATCACAACAGCTGATACTGTTTATGTTTCAGAGCTTATTTTTTATGTGGGTGAGATCTAGAATAAACAAAAAAACCAAAACGGCAGACACAAAGATGCTGTCTTCAGGCAGATGTTTCCCAGTAGTCTTGAACATGAAATTCTATTACTGACTCTACAATTAATCTGCCAAATTGCTTGCAGCAAATTACTTATTCCATAACTCAGTAGATATTACAGAAATCTAACTACAGAGTATTAACAATTATATAAAAAAGCAAGCTTTTTAAATGAAACATACTCTATAACCTTCAGATCATTATATGCCAGTTAAGTTCCTACAGATTTGGGGACATTTGAATTAAAATCTCTGGATTTTATTATCACACTGCAGCAGAGTGATGTTTCTCAAGGACACCACAGAAACCAGTGTCAACAATTGTTCCACAGTCAACAAATCTGCTAACGTTAAAGATCTGTGAGGCACATTGAAGAGCACCCTGAAAATTCATCTATTTTAAATTGTAGCAGCACCAAATAGTATTTCCAAGACACAAGAAAGCAGGAAACAAAGACGTGCATTGTTTAGAATTAAAAAACATAAGTGATGAGAAGTCATTGAAGACTGAACAAAGAATCAGAATTCCCGTCTCGCAGGAACCATTCCTTTATGTTCACACATTATATACATACACAGAACTCCTACTTCTCATTCCACCATGAATATTTTTCTTCTGCAACAACTCTGCATGCTCAAGGATGCCTGCATCAGTTCCAAAAACGTCAGCTCATATACTATTAGCAGCTTCCCTGAGGAACAGTTAATAAACTAACACTAGTTGCCCAGCAAACCAGGAAAAATGCAGCATGAATAGTCATGCATAAATCATTTTGCCTCGTTAATCTCAGAATTGCCAGCCTAACTCTTTCATAGAGCGAGGTGGGGTGGGGAGGAGTCTAGAGGCATTCATGTTATATTCACATACACTATTCTTTCTCCTCACTATAAAAAAGGAAATCTCAGAAACACAGCACCAAGATCTATTATTAAGCATTTAAGCTGTGGTAGTGCCAATCATTCTTTCAAAACCAAAAGACAAGCCCTCCTTCCCAACAGCACCAAAATCTTTGGCTTGCATTCTTGCCATAATAAATTCTCATATTACATTTCAAATACAAACTTTTATTGCTTACATGATTAACAATAACTACATTTCTCAAGAGGAACATCAAGCAAGCTTCATATATATATAGCTATAATGCTGTATAGAGACTGATAAATGCATCATAAAATGGGATATGAAGTTGGGCTCTGAGGCTCAATTATCTGTAACTGCTTAGTACCAGTATTTATAATTGCCTTTATAACTAGCAAGATTGTTCTCTTACACTATTCTTGGAAAAAAGGGGAAGAAGAACAAAACCAACAGTGAACCTGACATGCATGTTACTCCCACTAAGAAGGGAGTACTTCTGTTTATTTTGGGTATGAAAGGATGATGTTCCTGCTTCCCTTTTCCTTTCAAAAACAGGGCATCTTGTTAAAAGCATTTTTTGTGGAATTTGCATCACAGATGCAAGAGTCAGGTGCTTACTTGCCAGCTGGATAGCCCAACACTAGGCTTTGACAAACTGGAAGGAACAGGAAAATAGTTTGACAGCTTAAAAATAGAAGTATGCCTCAAAATCTGCTTAATATACTGAACCATATTGGACAAAAGACTTTGAGGGAGCTTAAATGATCTGGATTAAGACAGAAGGTTCTCACACCAGTTAATAACTTACTACAGCATTCCTCCATTATCTGTCCACATAGCTCCTTGCCACAATCTGAAAGAAGGAAGTCAGAAACGCAAACAGGACTGCGGACATCATTAAGTAGGAATTTGAAGGAAAAAAAAAAAAAAAGAGAAAGCCCCTGTGGCATTATCAAAATTAACCCCTCACAAGCTTTCCCTAAATACCTACTCTTGGTCATTCTCTGAGACTTTAAGACACAGGCTTTTGGTGTGATTCCATTCAGGAACCCTTATGGAGAAAAATAATTTCCTTTCTCCTGTCTCCTCAAACTCTTCTTTCTCTCTCAAAGTTCAAAGTCTTCACAGTAGCTTAACCTGTATTTTGTCCCTTAATATTTCATTCAAATATCACCTCTTATTCAAAACATTCTCTCTTTCTTTTCATATCCCCGAATTCCCACCCAAGCTTGCAAGTTTTCAGCTTGCTTTCTGGCTTTTCTAACATCTGGCCTGCCTCACCACACCAACCCGAAGTGCTGCAAAGATTACCAACCTCATTCGCTGCTTTGGTCTCATGCAAGTCCCACACATGCCAGTGTCTCCCACTCTTCTCCACACTTCAGAGATAAAAATCTCATTTTAGCTCCTCCCTTACATTACCGCTCACCCCAGCACCCCCTTATTCCACCAGAAAAGGCAGAACTGTACCAGAAGGGAGGCTTGTTTTCCCAAGGCAGCCCTGAACACAGCCTCCTCACCTGCCTCATGCCCAAGAAAACTGCTTTTTGTACAGTTTTTCCTCCCAGTTCCTTCTCGTGACATAGATGCATTAGTAACGCTACTAAACTCTCTTGTGCAGAGTTTTCAAAGGCGTGCAAACAAACTCAGTAGCTCCATTCGAATAAATAATAAAGCACTAACAAAGGAAGCAGCTGTGCTACCCTCGCACCTTCGGCCACACCTCATCACCCCGTCACTTGGGCGCTCCTTGGAGCGAATACTATCAGCACAGCAACCTCCAGCCAGCCGGGATGGTGGCCATCACACTAGCCTCCT